TACACAACAGATTGCTCTGCCAGGGCTTCTGCCTCTGAGTTCCAGGTGTGCTCAATTTTTGCATCTGTTACTTCACAAATGCATCAGACTTGAACGGCAAACCATATGGCTTCCCTTACCGAACCTATTTTCAATCACAAATATGCACAAATTACTGGCACAGGGGCTGGTATCATCTGAAAATGCCAAGAGTGAATAGTGTTGGGTTGGGTGCACAGACATAACTCAACATGAGCACAATAGCCCTGAATGTACTGTCTGGTGCTTCCCAGCTGACCCTGATCTATGGTATCTAGATAACAAATGTGCTCATTTAGAATAGCCTGTTCAGTTACTGCTCTGTGCTGGGAATCAAACAAGTTACAAACAGCCCCAAGTCCGAATACAGTAGTGACACACAGTAATGGTGTCATTATCAGGCAATAATTCTATGCCTATCACTGACTCCCACTGGCAATAAAAATGATAGCCTATAGCAAAGTGGCCACTAACAGACACCAGCAAGGGGACAGCAAATTACACTTAGTACCTTGATTGTATCTGCAATTAGTTTTGTGTGTGAAGATAAATCTGTGTGTGTGTGTGTGTGTGTGTGTGTGTGTGTGTGTGTATGAAAATCTTAATGATGCAGCCTAAATGTATGTTTCTGGTCACTGTTCTCTTAGCAAAGAAAAATTAAGCAAAACAAAACAAGAATGTTCATTTTCTTCAGAAATGTTTTCTGGCATCACCAGCTGATGTGCTATCATGAAGTGTGTTTTCACTGCACAGCACTTCTTTTTATAACACAGTCATGAATCTCCAAACATTCCCTCAGGACAAGATGTTTTTTGAGAAGGGAACTCTCTGAAACCCAAAACCACTGAAACATCCCTGTATACTTTCTGCAAGCAATGGAAAAGTGTTCCGAGAAAAGATTTACTTGAAATTTCCAAGCATAGAGAAAAGACATTTTTGACCCTGCATATTTATAGTGCCTTAAGAAAGACTTTTCTTGAGATTATTCAAGTTGTTTTTACACCTCTAATATCAAGCTTTTATCATAAACACTGCTTGAAGCAATTTTCAGATTATAAGTTTTCTTATTCAACAACAACAAAAAAATTCATGCTGCCCTTCTGGTGCTTTTATAAATTCCTTGTTTACTTTGCAAATAGTCAAATGTTGGCAGAACAAAAGTGTAAGACAGCCACAAATTAACATTACTTAAAAATATTTAAAATCAGTCTAATTTTACAATGATTAAAGATTACAAATATTAACACAAAGAGAAATAAGAAATCTAAAAGTTCAAAAGTGTAACCACAGCCAATACTACTAGAAATTAACAGGTGTTATTAACCTATTACGACAAGCTGTTTGACCAGTGATTTAAGCTTAGTGTTAATCAAAATGACAAGTAGCACAGTACCAAAGTTTGCTAACATTTCTTGCCTTTCTCAATTTCTCTTCACTTGTTAGTGTGTGTTGAGGTTAGCTGTACTTTAATACTATTTACAAACTTGTTATCAATTTAGGCAATGAATTCTACAGTCAAGAGCATCATATCCTTTCTTTCTTTTGGCCAATTGTATTGATTTAGTTCTTTCTCATTGGCAGATAAATTCAGTTTATGTAGCAGCAATTATCCAGAGGGAACATTAATAAGATCCACAAGATGTAAGGAGCTTGCTTAAAGCCCCAGGCCTGTCATTTAAAAAGATTTTGAGATTTTTTTTTTATTTATGTAGGATCAAAATCTCAGTGGCCACACCTTGTTAATCTCAAAGGCAATATCATAATTTGTAATTATGGTAAAACTTTCAAAAACACAGATTCTGTTTTTAATCAAAGTAACTTAAAAATATCCATTTATGTTCATGGATCAAGGGTTGACAGAGATTCATGACTGTCATCCAGGTGAAGTCAGGTCACAGGAACAGCAGTACTAGAGCTCCAAAAACTAGGCATCTACTGTGAGGAAACAAATATTGTTTTGTAACAGTTGAGGTTGGTCTAGATTAACTGCACCAACTCCTGCCAATTTACTAATTGCTATTAATTAAGCTGGAATAAACTGGGCAGAATAGACATTTTATTCATGTTATGACCTAAATAATGAGTTAAACTAAATTTACTGTCATGACTTTAACCATTGGACAATGATAATTTAATATGTGAGTAATGTTAATGTCTTAATATTGTCCCACTCTAAGATTGTGAAATTTACTTCCCTGAGTAGACAGATTTTCTCTTTATGCACCTTCGTGTTTAAGAATTCCTTCTGGGCCAGGGATTTAGCTCAGTGGTTCTGGCACCTGCCTTGCAAGTACAAGGTCGTGAGTTCAATCCCCAATACCAAAAAAAAAAAAAAAAAAAGAATTCCTTCTAACAAATAGGTAAAGAATCACAAACATTATAAATCTTCCAACATAATTGGATACTCTCATTTCTAAATTACAAGAGACATTATCTTACCTAAGTATTTGACCTCCATGACATTAATATAGTGAATATTTGGGCACCTTCAATAGATACATCCTCAAAACTCTACACCCCTCAAAATTACTCCATTAATTGAGATACAGATGCTGGGTAGGCAGCTAGCTTCCTTATCAGTAAATAGAATTCACCTAAATTTCAGCCTTTCGGTCATCTGATCCAAATTTACATTGGTTTTTCCAAGTGTTACATCCTTTAATGTCTTTTAGGGACAGATATGTATATTCTCATTTTAATTATGAACAGTTGGATCCTCCAAGAATTGTCAGAACTATAAATGCCAAATTTATTAACACCAGCTATTTCAAAAGTCCTACATTTATTTATTTTTTGGTACTGGGGATCGAACTCGGGTCCTTGTGCTTGCAAGGGAGGCGGCAGAACCACTGAGCTAAATCCCCGGCCCAAAAGTCCTAAATTTAATATCCTTTGCTTTTAGTGGGAGCAAATGGATATGTAATGATAAAGCAATAATATCTAAAGTCTGTCCAACAGTAGGTGTTTTGTAAAATTTTATGACTATCTACCGGGTTAAGTACCTTCTAAGTATAATCATTTATGTCTAATATAGAGATGCATGTAATTCCATGTGGTATTTCTGTACATTGCTTTGGGATTTTTCAAATATAATCTGTAAATTAGAAAATTGATAAGATTAATCTGTTATAAAATTCAGGGGAAAACAGAAGGATAAGTTTTGGTGAACTAGACTGTAGTTATTTAATCAAGTCATACCTAATTTTACCTGACAGATAAAGGAAACAAAGAAAAATTTTAAAATAGGTAATCATTAAGAAATGTAATAGAAAAAAAATGTTAGCATAGTGATGTGTTAATGAAGGGTCAGATGTTTAAAATAGTTTTATCAAAGATAATGATAAAGGCAAAACATAAAAATCAGTGCTAAAATTCAACCATCTAATGATTGAATAATTGGGTTGCTGTTGTTGAGAATACAGCCTTAAAAATGAAGTTATTACATTTTCAACAAGAAACAAAGATTTCTGAGTTGATGCCACAGTAATTGCTCCATATTTTCCAAAGTACTTATGTGAGTAGTTGGTCTCATTTAGGAGTATTAGTTGTATCCCAATAACTATTTTCTTCCTTACTGCTTCTTTCTTCCAAATTCTTGCTTACCTGTCTACTCAGAATATTTCACATGTTTCAGCTTCCCTTGCAGCTAGGTGTGACCATGGCCCAAAGTTTAACCAGTGGGATATCAGCAGAACTTATATGGATATTTCCAAACCCTGTAATCAAGGGACAGCTTTTTTTTCCTTTTTCTTTTATTATTTCCTCTTGTTGCCTGGAATCCGGGTATGACAACAGAAGCAGAACTAGCTATTCTTTTACCTTTCCATGAAAATAAATATATTTTCATCTTGTCCAGGTCACTGCTAATTTTTGATTTGTTCTATTTTGTTTGTCTTATCTCCAAAAGCTGAATTTAATCTTTTCAGAGATGCATTAAAATTCATGACCTTTGTCATTATTGATAGCTATTTGGAGAGTAATCTCAAATGGCTGTTCTGGAAGAAAAGAAGCCACACTTACAAAATTGGCCTTCTCATCAGTATCTCTGTTTTTCTACAAGAAATACTTCCATCAGCCTGCATTTTCAATCTGTCTCTCCCAGTGGCTAATTCTGGTAAGAATCCAACTTGACTTAATTTGAAATTAACATGGGGAGGAGCTTTATTTATTGCTGGCCCAACTCTTTAGCTCTGTCTATCTAGAAAAAATGGATACTTACTTTTAAACATCAAGACTCTCAAGCAAGGAGACTCCATAAATGGAGTCAAGCTTCCTATTCTGCCCGTGTATCTGAGTGAACAAAATCAACAGAATGTAGATAGAGGGGAAAGACCCACTATAGGCTCATGACAAAGGCCAATTCTGCATTGAGCTAACCTGTGAATAGAGCAGTTATTCAAAACCCATGTTTCCCTGTTATAACAACTATCATCTTTGATAGATGCTTTGAGAAGAGGGATGAATGAGGAAGCTACTCTAGTAGTGATAGTAATGTCCTGTAGTAGAGCAATGTGGGGTTCTATCAGAAACAGGACTGGCCCTTAATCATCAATGTCCTATGTATTAGCCCATTTTAAGTAATTATGATATTATAAGAATTCTGTGATTTCATGTAACAAATACATTTTAAAGTATGTCTGAGGACAACAATAAGGCTCGTTTGGAGTTGATGAGGCTACCCTCGTAGTGATATTCTAAACTGCCCCACAGTATATAGAGCAATGGTGCCTTAAAAATATGTCAAATAAAACAACACATGAAACATCATAACTCTGTACATGAGTTATTGAGCTTAAGAAAAAGCACCACAAAATAGTAGAAGTTTCAATCCACTGAGCAATGCCTTCAGTGATGTCAATAGGAATGTAATGCCAAGGAAACAAGAGTCAAAATGGGTGTTTGTGGTTTCAGCTGTTTTTTTTTTTAACATGCATTCCAAATCTTACTTTTTTCTAAGAAGCATGCCAGGGAATAAAACTTACCTTGCAGAGGGTGGTTAGATGTGATCATGTTCCAATAGATGGGAAAATCCAGAGGTCTGTACTATCAAGGTATATGGACAGCTGAAGCAAAAGGAAAAATCAGTTATCTGTATCTGTTGTAATCTGCAGTTAAAATTTTGATATTCTGTTCATAATTGATTTTTTGGCAACAATTTTGTTTTTTTAAATATTGCATTGAAATTTTATTTATCTTGATTGCTGAACTTATTAACTCTTCCTTAAATTTGACTCTCAAGATGAAAGTGTATGAAGACCAGTAAAGTGACCTAACAGGTCTCACCCAAGTGTTAGCCTATATTTCAGAATTGAGCACCAGCCATTTGTATGACTTTTGAGAAGTTCATCTGCATTTCTAGACCTTAGAGCACCTGAAATTTAATACTGCTTGCTTCTTTGATTCACATCATTATATAACAGGAAAAAACTGTGCCACACATGAACCCTAAAATGTTGGTATTAAACAACTTCAAAATAGTCTTGCTGTCCTGAAAAATACAAGTCTCCTACCTTCACAAGACAGTTTCATAATAGAGTTGGTTACACCATCCCTGAAATAGGAACCATATAGACACATAAAAAAGTTACAAATCCAGTGAATAGTAGAAATTGTGAACCCCTTTGGAGGGATTTTTCTTCTCTATAAAAGGAAGGTATGCACAAATGCTAAAACGCGCAGATATTTAATAAGAACCAGCATCTGTGCTTTGCCTGTTTCAAATTACACACCATCATCCCAGGGCCAGTCCAGGGCTTCTTACATGCATGGATGCTTAGAGCAGAGCCATAAAAAAAGGCTGGACTGACACATTTCTTTGCCTCTAGCAACTGCTCAATGTTCTGTTTTATTTTATTTGGCTTCATTATTTGGCTTTTGGCTGGCCATCCTAAAATGCCAGCCTACAGCATCAGCAAACACTGCTTCCTTCCATGAGATGGGCAGAACCATTCTATCATCCTCCACACACTGTGCCTTATGGGGCCACAAAGAGGGGGTGAACCCCTTCAAGAATCCATTCACAGATGCACACTGACATGCACATTCCTTTCCACAAGATGGATGGTATCTGGAAAGTCGAGATTGTTGCCAAAGGACAACGAGTATCTTTGGGGATAAAAGCATAGCTTAAATGTAAGATTTTGTCAGGTAATGACCTCACAATTTTCAAAGTATCTCACAATTCCTACCTGGTGGTGATTATAGGGTAAGGTGCTGTGTGCATACTGGAAAGTCCAGATTAGGCCTGAGGGAGGTGAAGTGTCTGGCAGGAGTGACATGTACAGAAATATTATAAAAACCCTGTTTCTCCAGTCTTACAATCGGCATAGTTAGAAAGGAACTTAATTGCACTATTTAAGATTAGGAAAGGTACAGGGGGAACAAAGTTATCAATTCCAAGCTTAAAATGCCATTGCACAATATGAGAATAAGTACTCATATGAATAGTGCAGCAGGAAAATTTAAAAACCAATAAAATGAAATACTCTATACACAGTGGAATTCAGCACTGCAGGAGATCAGAGAGTCAAATGCAGTAGCTGTATTTTAAAAGGAGGCTGAATAATTTTATGACCACTATAAAAGAGAAGACAGGCTTTAAATTGCTGCAAGAGTTTAGAAATAAGGTAAAACTTCATAGCTACAAAGGAAAAACTTCATAACTACCCTGGAATGGACATAATCCAAGTAGTTTGATTTACCATATTTCCCTTAGCTTTACTAAGCATAATCATTCCCATTAATGAAACCAGAGATCTACTCAACTGCAAAGCCTCTGACCTTTTGTTCTGCCCTGTACTGCCCTACCATCTTTTTTCTTTCACATATATAATGTTACCCAGGCATTGATCATGAACTCTCTAGTAATTGCTCCCCTACAATTCTTTCCCACCAAAATGTTTGGCCATGTGTTGTTTACTTTGCACACAGATTCCTGATACCTACCTTAAGCTTTCCATCCCTTCACTTTAAATCACATTATAGCTCCAAAGAGTTACTGTGGGAGACTCAAATCTACACACAGAAATTCCATTAGATTTTAAATAGGTTGCCTTAACCTCTTATAAACTGCAGACCACAATGATCCATCAGAACATGCTGGTTTAACCACATTTTACCTCTCACTAATAGCCAAAAGTAAGCGTTTAGATAAATTATGACTTTCATTCTGTTGACTGTTGCTTCACACTCCCTGCTGGATCATTTCGTGATGGTGGTGCTCTAAAGTAATCCCTTGCATTTTGGGCATTTCAGAAGCTACAGTGCATTTCTATATCCATATCATTTGATAATCATGTATACTCACTAAGAAAGTCAAAGTGCAGCAGATATTAATATCTCCTTTCAAAAATGAAAAATTCTGCCTCATTTCTACTCAGCTGCTTCTATTTCTGATTCCTGATCCTTTCAACAAACAAGATGATGGACTATGGCTAAGTAAGCCTGCTCATTTTGTCACAAATCTTCCTCCTCTTTCTGCTATTTTGCTTAAAATATTCCACGACATCTAGAGCAGACTGCCTTATCTTTCTAATAGTCATGTTCTTAGAATGCTATGTGCTCACAAAAACATTTATTCAATTAAAATAACCTTGTATCCTAAGTAATGATGCTTAATATACAGATTTCTAAGGGCCCCCATCACTGGTTTTCTGAAAAAGTATGTTTGTATCCACAAAATACTAAGCAATAAAGTAAATAAAACCCACAGTGTTACACATTTGGTATGGCCTGTGGATTCCAGAACATCTTCATATGAATGCTCATATTTTCATTCATTTTTAATAAGTATTTGAGTACTTTTTGTGTGCCAAAACAGAGTATTACAACAGAGAATAAAATAGAATAACATTTCTGGTTGTACATAGTTTAGATTCTAAGAGAAAATGCAGACAGTAAACAAAGATATTAAGAAATTCATAGGATGTTAGTGTGAAAAATGTAGAAGAGGGAAAGAAGTGTTAGGATCAAGGCAAGGAGTTGAATTTAGATAAAGTGGTTAAGTAAGGCTTCCCTGACAAATGACTTTCAAGTAAAAATCTGACTGAAACAAAGAATCAGTTATATGGATGTCTGAGGGAAGAGCGTTCCAGATAAAGAAGTAGAAAGTACAAAGGCCCTGTGGTAGGGCCAGGTTTGTGTGTTTCAAGGAACAAAAAAAAGGAAGCCTGTCCCTTTAGAGTGGAAGGAATGAGGACAATAGCAGGAGGAAATGAAGTCAGAGAGCATCTCAGACAATAATTCAGAGTCAGGCAGGACATGGAGAGCACATGGACAGGGAATGTTAAGAACTATTATGTATCACAAGATTCCTGTCTGCTTCATTGAAAACAGGCCAACACAGGCAACAGAAGAAACAGGAAGATCATTAAAAAGTCTACTACATTAAGTTGGACAAGTGACTCAAGGTTTGTAGTTGGAAAGGTAAGAATAGGATAAACTTAGGTAGCATGCCAGAGAATGTGAGAGGAGAGAGATAACCCACCATGACTTTGGTTAGAACAAATATGTAGGTGGATTTTTTATTGATTACAACTTACAAGACACCTGTAAGAACAAAACCAGTGATGAAAGGACCATCAGCAAATCTATTTGGAAAATGTTAAGAACATGCTCTCTGTTAGACAGCTCAAGGGAACACCAAGTAGCTTCTCTTATATATAGGATATTTGGATCCATTTGAATATTGAAGCTGAAAGAAGAGGTCCAGTCAGAAAACATATAGAGACTTTATACCTTGTCAATGGTATTTAAGGCCATGAAAAAGGATAAGAATTTCTCCTTCAGTGGGTGCATGGATAGAAAAGAGCAAAAGGGCTTACCACATGATATCTGCCATACTCCAACATTTAGGGATTAGAGAGACAAAGAACATAGCAAAGAAGTTAAGGTTAAAGTTAGCGAAGTAAAGTTGGGAAATGTGGTCTTTTGTAGGTCAAGTGAAGTAATTTTTTCAAGGACAAGTGATTACCTATGTCAAATGTGTCTTATTGACCAAGTACAATTAAACCTGAGAAAATCTTCACATAAAGCAATGAGGAAAGCATAGAAGACTTTCGTAAGACTTTTCTGTGATTCAGTGGAAACAAAGGGATGATTTGAGTACATTCCTCAGAGAAGGGAGAAGGGTAATGTGCAACAGCAAATCAATAAATAGATAATTATTTTAGGTAGAAATGGGGAACATTTAGAGGAAGAAGAGAGGTCATGAGAGGTTGTTTTTTAAATATTGGAAAATAAGAAATAGTACATTTATAAACTGATTAGAATAATCCAACAGAAAGGGGAAGATTGGTGAACCACAAAGTGAAGAGGGAAGCAGCTGAAGTAGTCTTTGAGTAGATAAAGCAGGATACAGTTTAGTTATACCTCAAATATCTGTCCGTAGCCAGTGACAGCAATAGTTCATTTATAGTCAAAGAAGAGAAGAGAGGTATATTGCTAAGACACTGGCAGGGGATGAGAGAGCATGTGGAGTTTTTCTTCTGATTGCTTTTATCAGTGAGGAAGACAGCAGAGTTGACAGGTGAGAGGATGGGTAGACAGAGACCTTGGGGGATTTAAAGAAAAACAGAAATATGTAGCATTAATCTAGGAGATGAGAGAGTTAAGTACATTAGTAGAATGACTGGCAGCACAAAAGCCCACCTCAAAATTAGTAATCATGCATTAAAAGCAAAACCAGTCATCTTAATTGTGTCTTTTGTTTCAGCAGCCTGGTTTCAAGCATGGAGTGGTTGAAAAGTTTGTTTTAAACTATGTCCTGCTTCAGCCAAGTGAGTATATAACAAAGGGAAAGGAGACAAGGGAGTAGAGAGTGTTTACAAGTGAATGAGTGTGATAGTTAATCATAGAATTTAAGCTTGATAAGATATTAAGAGGAAGTTAGCAACAGGGAAGAGATGGTAAAACAGAGGACATTGAAAGATTGTTCCAACTAAGATAATTGAGTGAGTGAGCTGAGAAGATGGGAATGGGGTAGTAATCAACTATGTAATGGGATGCTTGAAATTGAGATAATGGATGAAAAGTGAAAGGAATTTCCACAGAAAAGGTTCAGAAC